TATATATATATATATATATATATATATATATATACATGTCTGTGTGTGTGTGTATATATATGTATATGTATTTCTACACATGTATTTTCATTTTGGCATGATTCTGTGTTTATACATATCCACATAAAAAATGCATTACAAAGTGATCTCCTTAGAATGATTCCAAAAGAATAATTTGAAAGGGATCCCTATCTGGCCCTTTACAGAATGTTTATCAACCTCAAATCTAAATTATGCTAGAAAATAGGAGCTTATCTTATTTTCCCAGTCAGTAAATTATTCACTGAATTTTTACGGGTGTCAACTATACCTCCATTATTGTACTAGGGGATTATAACCCCATGAGAATTGATCTCTTATGGTGCACAAATGAATCTGAATGGAAAGATATGTTATTAGTTCAGATACATTATTGTGACTAGACAGTGTAGATGGTGATGTAGCATAAAGCACAAGTACCCAAGAAGCATCAGGATTGTCAGAGTGTAAAGAGCACTGGCCTGGGAGCTCCAGTGCTGTCTTTGTCACTCGCTACTTGTATGAGCTTCCAAGCAAATTTTATCGTCTTTGTACTGCTTTCTTCACTTGAAGATATGGATTGGCTTGGCTTGGATTGGATTGGTTGACCTGTAGAAGCCTTTCTGGCTCTGAAGCTCTTCCTCTGTGACATTTAAATAGGTCTGCAACTGTCTCTAACTGTTGTAATGTTTCCACAGGGTGTTACCTACTGTGGAGAGAGTTCGGCAAGCAGTCTTACCATGGCCAACGTGCCCTGGCACGAGGAAGTGGTGCGCTTTGTCTGTGAGTTGGTGGATCTGATCCCCGACTATGAAATTGCTTGTGAACACGAACATTCCAACTGCCTCCTGATAGCTCACAAGAAAGTAAGAACCAGTCAAGTATGCATTCTTCCATCACCCTTGTCCTTCCTTGCTCTCTTTTCTCTTTATTTTCCCCTCACCTTATTATAATGAATATCTACTTGTTTGCTACCTTTCCTAAAAAAAACATTAAGAAAGCCCCGAATTCAGTCTGTTGGATTCATAAACTGTCTTTTCTGTGTGAGATTGCTTTGTTTTCAGCCCTCACCATGGCACCTGAAGTGCTTCTGGCTTGTAATTGGTGTGTACTGAGAAACAAAACAAAACACCCTTGTAATAACCTCTAATCCTTTCCCAGAATGACAAGGGAAAGCGAAAATAGTAAACAACCCCCATATGAGTGTTTTGGACTGTCAGAAGAAATATTGAGGTGTTTATCAAATTTTAGATCACTTTGAATCTTGGCCTCTGCAGAAATATTTCTGGAATTTTGGTTTTCCTTTTAGTGTTTTTATTAGACAGAACGAGTGCCTGAATCTAATGTATTTTTTAAGTAAATAATGCCTAGCAAAGGAGAAATTCAGTTTTTAGTAGAGGTAGACCATTAAAAAGAAAAAAACCCAATCAGAAGGCCAGTGTTAGAGTAGCGATCATAATGATATGTCCTTACTGAAATATTTTACAGAAATAATATAGTGTCTGGGATTTGATTCAAAATGACACGAAGTAAGAAGTATGTGGGTGTGTAGATGGGTTGAGGGTTGTTGAGGCTAGATGATGGGTACACAGAGGTTTGTTTTACTCCTCTGCCTAGTTTTCTGTTCAAACTTTCCATTAAAAAGTGCTTTTTAAAAAAGGGGACATGGTTGAACCTTGAAATCATTATTCTAGATGAAAAATCGACACAAAAGGCTACATAATGTATGATTCCATTTATATGAAATGTCCAGAATAGGAAAATCCTTAGAGATAGAATGTGGTTTAGTGGTTGTTGGAAATTGGGGGAAGAGCAGACTGGGAAGTGACTGCTAATAGGTATGGGATTTCTTTTTGGAGTGATGAAAATGTTCTGGAATTATTTAGTGGTGTTGGTTGCACAACTTTGTGACTATACTAAAAACCACTGAATTGTATACTTTAAAAGGTTGAATTTTATGGTTTGTGAATTATATCACAGTAAAGATAAATTAATACCAAAAAGGTAATAAAGAATGGGCTACCTTTTCTTATAAAAATGCTCTGTATGCAAGTAAAGTCAGGCTTAATTGAACACGAATCTCACTTTTTCCTCCCTCCACAACCTAAGTGGCTTCCTGAACAGCTTTGCAGGTTAATGATATTTAATAATATTAGAATCACTCAATTAAAATTTCACGTGGTCTAGTCTCAAACAAACAGGAGGTTAAAAGGCCCTCATGCCTTGGTCCCAATTAGATTGTATATATCTGACCTAATGATCTGTCAGACTTACATGTTTAGACAGAAGAATATGTACTGGGAGCATTAAGGAACAAAGAAATAAAGGCTACCTAGTATTTGAAATGTTAATAAAGTAGCTGCAAAGACAATTAACTTACAAAGTAAATCTTAAAAATTAAAGCCAAAACTGAATTTTATTTTCTAGCTTTTTATTTATTGTTACTTTTTTAGGTAAGATAGTACCTTCAAAACAAATTATTTGATTGGAGGGGCAGTGCTCTGGAAATAGTCCTGACAGTGGTAGTAAAGTTCTCTCTTCTTCCATAAGGTCTTCACACCATAGCCAAAGATGTCTTTATAGAATGTAGATCTCTGGTGCTTAGGTGCCTTTGATTGACCTCCCATTGCCTTTAGCATGAAAATCAAAATCCTTAATGTGGCCCCTAGGGTCCTATGTGATCAGTCTCTGTCTCCCTCTCCAGCTTCTTCTGGAACCCCTCTTCCTTCTCTTTCTGCACTTCTTTCATTTTCTCAGCCACAGTAGGTCTTATTTTTCCTCCACTTAGGCTGGGAATTATATACTTTTTCTATTCTTTCAGTGGGTGCACTAGAAATTACTACATGCAAACTTGACTAATCAGTCTAGTGTTAAAATACTTTTACTCTGTAACTGTGCAAAGCAAGGACTTTAGAACACAAACCTCCATTTTTCCCTTCCCAACTCATGCTGTCATTGTTGTGTATGTTAATTATAAATGTAAGGACAGTATTGTTAACTGCTTTATGTAGTCAGTATTTATTTAGATTTACCTGCATGTTAAACATGATTTTGTTCTCTGTTCCTTTTTGCATTTTTGAGCCTCCATCTGGGACTGTTTTCTTTTTGCCCAAAAAGCACCTTTTAAAATTTCCTTTAGTGGAGGTCTGCTGATGGCATACTCTCAGTTTTTGTCCAAAAATGTATATTTTAGCTGGGTATCAAATTCTAGGTTGGCATTTGTTTCCTTTCAACACCATAAAGATATTCCCCTGTCTTTTAAATTCCACTGATGAAAAGTCAGCTGTTAGTTTGTTGCTTCTTTTAAGGTGATTTGTTGTTTTCTTCCCTCTGGTTTCTTTTTCTCTCCCTTTGGTTTTATGCTCTAATGTGTCTAGATGTGAACTTCTTTTTATTTTCCTTTTTGGGACTTCTTGGGCTTCATAAATTTGTGGGTTGATACTTTCCATCATTGATTGAAGACTTCTTAGCTTTTATTTCATTAAATATTTCTTCTTCCCCAGTATTTTTCTTCTGGAACTCCAGTTAAACATGTGTTATTGTATTTTTTATTTCACTTGGACAGTTTCTTTGGACTTGTATTCCAAGTCACTAATTTTTGCTTCAGCTGTGTCTCATATGCTATTAAATGCCACACCAATTTTTAAATTTTGGATAGTATGTTTCTCAGTTAAATAACTTGTTTGTTTTGTTTGTTTCAGATATGATATATCACACTGTATGCTTTCCAGTTCCCTGCTGAAATTTTCAAGCTTGGCTTTTATCTTCTTGAATACTGGAAATTTCAGCTATTTCATTGTTTGTATCTGATAACTCCAATATCTAAAATCTCTGTGGATTTGTTTCTGTTATCTGTTGTTTCTGTTGGCTCTCAGTTATGTTGCCTTGTCTCCTTATGTACCTTATCTTATTGTGTTATGTACAATGTATGTAGAAAGTTATTTATAGAAATAATATGAAGTTTAGGATTAGAATATCACTTCTGAGATTTGGAGACACGTTTTACCTCACTTTTTTCCTGTGGAAACTGATCAGTTGGTGAAGAGACTTCCTTAAAGTCTCATAAAGTGGCTGAGCCAAATCTAGACCCACAACCTTCTGCCCTCTAGTCCATTGGTCTTTCTTATGCCACAGGGCATCTTTTGATACCACTGATGCCATTCGAAGAAGAGTTTAAAACTGGGAAATTTTATGTTAGACCAATACTTGACTTCAGTCTCTAAGATATCTTCTCTCTTCCCAGTGTAAACATGGACATAGGGGAAATAAATGGCACCATATCTCATTCAGGCCAGTTTAGTTCTGTAAGTGTTTATTAGACATCTGCTGAGTTCTGACACCAGGCTGTGCAGTGAGGGTCACAGCACTGCAGCCATGAAGAATGTCAAGCACAGCCATGCATGAAAATTCCAGTTTCTCTGCATCCTAACCAGCATTTGGTATTGTCATTTTTTTTTTTTTTTTTTTTTTTTTTTTTTTTTTTTTTTTTTTTTTTTTGCGGTACGTGGGCCTCTCACTGTTGTGGCCTCTCCCGTTGTGGAGCACAGGCTCCGGACGCGCAGGCTCAGCAGCCATGGCTCACAGGCCCAGCCGCTCTGCGGCATGTGGGATCTTCCCAGACCGGGTCACGAACCTGTGTCCCCTGCATCGGCAGGCGGACTCTCAACCACTGTGCCACCAGGGAAGCCCTGGTATTGTCATTTTTTAGGTTAGCTGTTCTAACATGTTTGTCATGATCTCAGTGGGTCTTAATTTGCATATCATGAACATGATCTATTTAGATCTTTGATTTTGTTAATGAGCATTTTAATAGTTTTTAGTATACAGGTCCTATACTTTGTTAGGTTTATGCCTAAGTATTTTTCTGTTTTAGCAATTATAAATGGTATTGCATTTTTAATTTCAGTTGTCACAAGTTCATTGAATTCTGTAGAAATAGAATTAATTTTTGTATGTTGATCTTATATCCTGCAACCTTGCTGAGTCACTTATTATTTCTAGCAGGATTTTTTTAGTAGATTTCTTGGGGTGTTCTACATAGACCATTATATCTTCTACAGAAAGGGACAGTTTTGTTTCTTCTTTTCCAATTGACATCCCTTTAATTTCCTTTACTTAATTACATTTACTAAGACTTTGAGTACTTTATTGAATAAGAACAGTGATTTCGGACATTCTTGTCTTTTTCCTATCTCGGGGAGAACGTTTAGACTTTCACTGTTTAATTTTATGTTAGCTGTAGGTTTTTTATACTTGCTCTTTTTCAAATTGAGGAAGTTTCCCTCTATTTCTAGTGTTTTGAGGGGTTTCATTTTGAATGGGTGTTTATTCACAATAAAATTATTAAGTCATATCCTTTTTCTCCATTGCTATGAACATGTGATTTTTCTTCTTTTACCCATTAATATGATGGATTACATGGATTTTTGAATATTGGACCATGCTTGCATCCCTGGAATAAACCCCTCTTAGTCATAGTGTGTATTTCTTTTTTATATATTGCTGAATTCTTTTTGCTAATATTTTTTAAAAGATTTTTGCCTCTATGTTCATGAGGAATATAGGTCTGTAGTTTTCTTTTTTTATACTGTCTATGATTTTAGTATTAGGGTAATACTGGCCTCTTAAAGAAGGTTGGGAAAGGTTTCCTCCTGTTTTCTAGGAGGGATTGTGTGGAATTGGTGTTAATTCTTCTTTATATGTTTAGTAGAATTCTCCAGTGAAATTGGGCTTTGAAGCATATTTTGGGGGGAGTTTTTAAATTATGAATTACATTTCTGTAGTAGTTAAAAGGCTATTTAGATCATCTTTCATCTTGGGTGAGATGTGGTAGTCTGTACTTTTCAAGGAATTGGTCCATTTCATC